TACACATATATACACACACACACATACAAATATATCTACATATATACGTACACAAACACAAATATATATACATATACACATACACACACAAATATATATACATATACAAACACAAATATATCTACATATACACACACACACACATATATAAATATACACACACACACACACATATATATCCATATATATATATATACACACAAAAAATATATATCTACATATATATACATACACACACATATATATATACAAATATATACACACACACACACACATACATACACACACACATATATACATATGGATATATACACACACACAAATATACATACACACACACACACATATATACATATGTATATGTATACACACACACAAATATATTTATACACACACACACATATATATATATATACATATATACACCCACGGACATATATATATGAAACAATAGACCTAGAAATAGAAGTGGAAGGGACCTTGGAGGTCATCTAGTCCAGCCCTCTGGCTCCTGCGTGATTTTCTTCCACGCCCCTCGAGTGAAAGTCGGATTTTTTTGGGGGGGGAAGAGAGAGAGAGACGGGGGGGGCTCTTCTCCATCCAGACAGGTGGACTACACCTCCCATCACTCTGCGCGGCCCAGGATGATGGGAGCGGGCTTGTCCTCCCCCCCCCCCCCCCCCCGCCACCTGGACTCACCTGGCGAGGCACACCTGCAGGCCGGAAGTGACGGCAGATGGCTATGGAGGCCGGGCCACGCTCCTAGAGCGTCTCGCCTTTCGGGCTCTCATTAGGCCCGAATAGAAGGGCGGGCGGGGGGGTGGTGGAAATCGGCCTCAAGCGCTTCCGTCCGCCACCGGAAGTGAGAGTCCGCCATCTTGGGAGGGGCCCGGCCCAAAATGATGCGTGTGGCATTGACACCTCCCCTCTGCCCACCCCTCCCACGGGTCCGTTTGTTGCCCCCCTGCCCCCCCCTCCCGTCCTCGCGTGAATTAATACCTGCGCGTCGGAATGCCGGCGAATCGCCCCCGCAGTTCGGGTCGGGCGGCCAGTCCCCCCACCCCGCCCAAGGGAGCGGCCGCTCTACCCATCGCGCCTCTATGGGCAAAAAAAAAAAAGCGCGATCTGGGAGTCCCTAGAGTGACGCTCTAGCCCTCGTTTCTAAGCAACTTCCGGCCTCCTTGGCTGCTCCCCACCTGGTCCAAAGGGTCTTCCAAACTTGGCTACTTGACGCCCGGAGGACTTCAACTCCCAGCATCCCTTGAGCTGACATGACAGGAGGAGGAATTCTGGGAGTTGGAGTCCACAAGTAAGGGCCTGTCCTCCAAGGGCTCCCCCAAATCTGCATGGTCAGGTGGGGTGGAAGGAGAGATAAGACTAATGGAATCTGGAAGGGACCTTTGGAGGTCTTCTAGTCTAACCCCGCTACGCAGGCAGGAAACGCTCTTCCCATTTTAGACAGATGGCTGTCCAGTCTCTTCTTGAAAACCTCCAGGGATGGAGAAGGAAGGAAGGGAAGGGAGGGAAGGAAAGAAGGAAGGAAGGAGAGGGAGGGAAGGAAGGAAAAGGAAGAGAAGGAAATAAAGGGAAGGAGGGAAGGATGGAAAAGGAAGGGGGAAAGAAAAGGGGAGAAAAGGAAGAGGAAAGGAAGAGAAGGGAGAAAGGGAAGGAAGGAAATAAAGGGAAGGAAGGAAAGAAGGAAAGAAAAGGAAGAAAGGGAAGGAAGGAAAGAAAGGAAAGAGGAAAGGAAGAGAAGGGAGAAAGGGAAGGAAGGAAATAAAGGGAAGGAAGGAAAGAAAAGGAAGAAAGGGAAGGAAGGAAAGAAAGGAAAGAGGAAAGGAAGAGAAGGGAGAAAGGGAAGGAAGGAAATAAAGGGAAGGAAGGAAAGAAGGAAAGAAAAGGAAGAAAGGGAAGGAAGGAAAGAAAGAGAAGGAAGAAAGGGAAGGAAGGAAAGAAAGAGGAGGATGAAAGGGAAGGAAGGAAGGAAGGGAAGGAAGGGAAGGGAGGATGGAAGGAAGGGAAGAAAGGAAGGGGAGGAAGGAAAGAAGGTCAGAAGAGGAAGGGAGGGAAGGAGGGAAGGAAGGAAAGGGAGGGAAGGAGAGGAACGAAAGAAGCGGGAAGACTAAAAGATGACAAAAACAACGCTCTGCTCCTTGAGTTGCGCTTTTATTGCCCGGGGTTGATCCCACAGGAGTAGCTACTCTCCCCCCGCACCAATACTCCCTCTTTCCAACCCTGCACCTGGTTTTCCCAGGCAGCCCCCCCCCCATATCCCCCAGCTCGAGAGGCAGCTGAATCCGGTGTGCGTGCGTGCGTGTGCGTGTGAGTTAGTGGTTAGTCGAAGAATCTTTTGCACGAGAGAAGTGTTAAGTGCGTCAGTCGTTTCTAATCCGCTATATGGAGACACCCCCGCCCCCCCGCCAGCCAGGGCTGCGGAGTCAGGGGGCGGCGCGGAGCTTTAATCCTGATTTCAACATGGGTAGGAGAATCGGGGGGGTACAAAGAGGGTCCCCCCCCCCACTTCCAGCGGAAAGAGGCGGAACGACTTCCGAGGAACCCCGGACGGGCTGGCTCACTCGCTCGCTCGCTCTGGACCGCTTCCCGTCAAGGCCTCTCGACAGGGTTTCTTCCAACTATCTTGGAACCCTCACACAAACCAGGATGCGCGAGCCGGACAGGATTCGAAACATCCCCCCCCTACAGAAATGAGCCCCGTCGAAGCTTCGAGCTGCCAGCGTCTCGCGCGCACGACGTTCCCGATCCACGCGGCTCGCAAACGACGCCGAGTGAGCTTCTTTGGGGGTCCGACGCACCGCAAAACCCCGGGGATTCCCGCCGACGTGGTCGCGACGACGGAAGGGAGTTTGTCATCCCAACCCCACAGGGAGGAGGAGGAGGAGGCCGGCAAGTCTCGGGTCAAGCCAGCGTAGACAACCCGGAGTTGAGGAGGCGTCGCGTGGAACGTCCGACGAGGCCGAGGTTGTTTTCTTTCGGCGCCCGCTTTGTCCTCCTCCCTTGCACAAGGGCTGCGGCGGGCGTAAATGGCTGAGGTCTCGGAGAGACGAAGGCCCTGCGTGGGATACGGGGCTGGGACCATCCGGGAGTGGAGTGCGGCCGTCGGAGCTTGGGGAGGCCGGCAGCAGTGAGGAAGAGCGTCCCGAGGAGCCCGTGTCCAGTAGGCCTGCTCAAAGGAAAGACCGGCTGCAGCAGCCACGGGGCGACTCGCAAGGTCGTGGCTGCTCCCTGAGGAGATAAAAGCCAGCCTGAGAAACCGGAGTTCTTTGCAGGAAGCAAAGACGTTTTGAAACTCAGCCTCGTGGACATTCTAGTATAAAAAGGGATAAAAGCCAGCCTGAGAGACCGGAGTTCTTTGCAGGAAACAAAGAAGTTCTATGCCCTTCAAGCCTTGCGGAAGACTCGGGAGTTTGATCCCCGTAAGGGATAAAAAGCCAGCGGAGAAACTGCAGCTCTTGGCAGGAAGCAAAGAAGTTCTCTGCCCGCTTCAAGCCTTGTGGAAGTTCGGAGTATCGGAGTTGGTGTTTGGAAACTCTTGGTGTTTGTATTATTTCTTGGCAACTTTAACTAGCCTTCTTGGCAGCCT